AAATAGAACTGCCCGGTAAACCGTAGGATATATCTGAAGCCAACTGGACACATGACACCTGCCATTCGCACACAGAATTGTCTTTTTTTTTTTACGGTCGCGTCTCCTGTTTAGTCCTCCTCTCTTATTCACAATGGAACTCGCAAGGTTTTCCTCTGCTTGATGCATTCTTACGGTCGCCTCGCTCCACTACACAACACTTTACATGCATTTAGACGCCTTCCAGACCGGATGCATTCAAAGTGTTGGACCCATCCCAATGCACCTGGTCTAGCAAGCGTCCAGATGCATGTAGAGTGTCCTGTAGTGGAGCGAGGCAACCGTAATGTGGCCTCCTACTAAAAGTGTTTTGAGAGAACTTGCATCATGGCGGAAACCGCAGAACGGCCCTTCACAACAGTGACAGAAAAGACAAGGAAAGTTGGTGTAGGGCCCCGATCCACTACTCCCGACATCCACAAAAGACAAAAAAATATGAAGGTGAATCTTTCTGTGTTCTAGGGTAAGATTCTAAGATTCATTCTCAATTTGCACATCTGGTGAGTCATGGAGCGAGGCCCATCGCAGCAAAGGAGATCGATCATGCAGATGGAACACTCAAAGAACAAAGCATGAAACTTTTTGTCCCTTTGCAAGTATCCTTTGTTTTTTTTAATGTTTTTTTCAACTTTGTGCAAGTAGCCTTCACACGCGTTTCACACAAGTCGATGTAAACACACACACACACACACACACACACACACACACACACACACACACACACGTCGGTGGCTGGAAGTCCACAAACGATGCAGATGATGTCCACGGATATCCCTTCTTTCCCCCTACCCCTTTTTCCCCCTACCATGCAGATGGGTCCCTAGCCCAATGGTAACCAACAGGGTTCGAACACTGGATCTGCTCTTCAACAGTTGCATGTATGTACCATTGACTTGCACAAAGTCATAAGCCAAACAACCGATTATCGGCCTCGCTCCACTGCTCACCAAAATGTGCAAAATGAGATGGAATCTTGCACTAGAACATGGAAACATACACCGCCATGTTTTTTGTCCTTTGTGCATGTCGAGATTAGTGGAGCGAGCCAGTATGTGTATATTATCTGTATGTGTCATGCGATTCATTACGCAATGTGTGCACATGCTGTCCCACATGCTGTCCCACATGCTGTCACGCATGCTGTCCCACATGCTGTCACGCATGCTGTCCCACATGCTATCCCACATGTTGTCCCACAAGCTGTCCCACAAGCTGTCCCACATGCTGTCCCACATGTTCGGACATGCTCTGCAACAGTCCTACACAGTTTTCCTTTTCATTTTCACCCAATTCAATCACAGGAAAAATCCGATCAGAGAGGCTCAGAAAGTTGACAGAAACCCATATTCAGTCAAATATTCCTTCGCCATTCACGTTACGGGTGCTGCGTTGAGCTGCAAATACGGACATCATATCCATCCATATAGGTTCCTTATTGAGATCGAGGCTAATTAATTACTCGAAAAAAAACAGGGTAGTGAGCAAAAATAAAGTTCCTTATTATTGAGCTGCCAGAGAGGCATATGAGGACAGACTCCCACCTCATTAAACAGATTGATATAGCGATTGAATCGTCTCTGGTCTTTGCTATAATGTGCAGCCACAGCACCAACCGCATAGATTCCTGAATGCCCGCACAGGAAGGTCACAACCCTGCCCTTGACACCACACACACACACACACACACACACACACACACACACATCACACACGCACGCACACACACACACACACACATCACACACATGTTTGGGCACAACCACGTGATCAAATGAGTCACGGAACATAAAACACTAAAGAGAACCATTGCACGGTAATGTTACATGCCCGGTTGGGCGATGTACGTATATAGCCAAGGATCCACAATGTGATGAAAAGGACTGAATCGACAATGCAGTGCTAGAGGAATCTCAACAAGCAGTGTACATCCTGATACATACAAAAATGGTGCTTTGTAGCGCAGTGGAAGACTTAGATAAAAGTCCTGACCTGACCGGGACTGACCTCCCTCACTTAGTACAAGACAGTGTAGCAAAATGCTAGAATACCAATGACTAGCCCAACCAATGTTGCAATGCAGACCCAACATACATCATCCTCATCACAAGGTGTGAAGGGGCCTGGCGCTACACACAGGAAGAATGCGCCAGGTCCAGACCATACACAGACGAAGAGGAGGGGATCAGACTAAGAAGAGGGGGAAGATGGGAATGTCGTCAACACCAAGTCTTCCGTACAAGTCCCAGAGAATCCCTCGTCAAATGTCTGAAGCCCAATGTCGAGTCTGGATCCAAATGTCACTAATCCCGCTCTCTCTCTTGTAGTCTGCTCATGCAGTGAAGTCAGGTAGCGAGAGGGTGAGAGGGAGATGGTGGACTGAGAAGAGGAAGAAGAAGAACTCTCTCTCTCTCTCTCTCTCTCTCTCTCTCTCTCTCTCTCTCTCTCATGTGCCAGGTACTAACCTGTGAAGATGGCGCTGTGCTGCAGGTACCTCGAAGACGAAGCTGGAGCCATGGCGCCGCAGGTAAGTCTCCCTGGCCTCCGCCCAATCTCTCTCTCTCTCCAGTACTACTCTAGCTCCTACCAGCGCCCAGCGCTGAAGACTATTGCTAACGCTACTACTACTACTGCAACGCTCCTCCAGAGTGCTGCTGCCGAATCCTGAAGACTACCTCTTGCCTCCTGAACTGCACGTGAAGTGCCTGGGAAGTCCCTATGAACTGCCTGCAGCCTGCAGGGCGGGCTAGTCCTATGTAGTGCTGGCCCGTCCAGGAGGCTGCTCTTGCCAATGCCAAAACGTGCCAGACCCTGGCGTTGAAGCTCAAACAAAGATTGTCTTGAAAACAGGCCCAAAATGGCCTGTGCTAAAACCCTGGTCTGGTGCCTAAGTTTCAGGGCAGGTCGATCTTATGAGGGCCTGAAAATGGCCCTCCGTTTCAGGCTGAAAAGACTCAGGGCCTGGAGGGCCCTGTTTTAGGCTGAACGACACAGGGCCTGTAGGCCCTTGTTTTCAGGCTTTCAGGCTGAAACGACACAGGGCCTGTAGGCCCTTGTTTTCAGGCTTTCCGGCTGAAAACGACACGGGCCTGAAAATGGCCCGTGCAGCCTGTTGCAGGCGCAGCATGTAACAGTAATCTCTTCCGCCACCAGACAAAGACCTGCCGCCACGCAATGGACAATCTTCTTTCCCGAACCCATATTAATCCGTATAAAATTACTATAAATATGTATATGCCACTAGGCTACCAGAGTGGCCCGGGGCCTCGTCCCACTAGCGAAGTATTCTACGATGTGTGACGCACTTTTTTCCTTTTTTAATTGTTTTTTGACGTTTTGCAGACCAAAAAAAAAAAAGAAGTGGGATTTCTTTTTATTTTTCTCGTGCACTTTCTCGTAACCGTCTCCCACGTTGGAGACCTGGTCGCCGTGTCAGACGCGGTCTTCGGAGATGCAGTAGCACAACGTAGCAAAATGAACCTGCTCCGCGACAGCAATGAATGTAGTTCGCACGTACGGGTAGATGCACCGCAGCGACTTGTTTTTGGTGCATGCGCTGTGTCGGGCGACGGGAGTGCGATAGGACCTCATTGTATAGGAAAAAATATGGCGTTGTATCTTCCCGTGTACTAGCGGAAGATTCAGTCTCCAACGTGCACATTTGGAGAAAAGTGCAGCGCGGCCCGTCGGTTACTACTTGTGAAGTGGAAACGAGTTGATGGGCTTGGCTCCACTGCTCGCGGTTACTGCAAAAGGAGAGTGAATCTAACCCGAAAACAGGGAAAGATTGGCAGCAATTATTTTCATGCCTTCGTGCATGTCGAGAGTTGTGGAGCGAGGGCCGATATGTTTGCCGTTTTCGGCCGGAGTCCTCCATCTTTGGCAGTGTGGTTCGTTCGGAGGAAAGTACTACTGCATGTGCCTCTCCAATCGTGCCGACCTCCTGAGTTCGTTTTGTGGGCGGTCCAGCTCGTTGGCGGATGTGTGAAGTCCTCCAATCGTGCCGACCTCCTGAGTTCGTTTTGTGGGCGGTCCAGCTCGTTGGCGGATGTGTGAAGTCCAGCCGACAGGCATTGCAGTCCCGTCACATTGCTGTCGGGGAGGAGGGTGGCATGGTAGTGTTCGGGGGTCGTGTGTGGTAGAAAGGGGGCGCGTTTAGGGGGTGTAGCACGAGGGGGCAAGGCGGGGGGGCGGGGGGGGGGGGGAGGCCAACAGCGTACCTCGCATTGGGGGTTTAGTGTGCCAACGTCAGGGGTGGGACTGCCGGATTGAATCCGATGCCGAGGCTTCGAAGGAGGGACCGCGAGAGAGTAGCAGTTGCCGTCATGGCTGCCGCAGGCAAGATTGCGGGGGATGCCTTCGACGCGCTTGACCTCATTGCCAGGTATCGCAGTGGGGTTGGGCAGCCTGTGGGCCCTGCGCCACTCGCCAATCTGGGACTCCGCATTGAAGATGATGACGACGATGGCCCGACCAATCACAGTCTGTTGTGGCTTTGGCCTGCCATTGTCGACATCACCAAAATCCTTCCCGGTGCGTCCCCTAGGTGGTGGGTGATGCGGCGAAGTGCTGGTTTGTGGAAGGATCTTCTTCCCGATGACGACGCCGAGGACGACCACTACCTCAGTCTTCTACGGATGCGGCGTTCAACTTTCAACCGTTTGCTGCGGAAGGTTGGCCCTCTTTTGGAGAGGGAGGTCACCAGATTCCGTCTCCCTTTGCCACCGGCCAAGAAATTGGCGTACGCACTCCATAGGTGGGCCCATGGAGACCACCATGGGCACAGTTGCTCAGGTTACGGCCTTGGCAGAACCAGCGGCTTGCGTGCTGTTATGGACATTGCAGAGGCAATTGTTGAGAGCTACCCGGGCGCCGTGGGCTTCGGTGGGTTCGCCGAACGGCACGCCAGAATGCAGAAGTTCAAGTCATTGGGTTTCCCAAATTGCTGGGGCTGCATCGACTGCACGCACGTGTACGTTGACAAGCCTCGTTCCAAGGACGGGGACGAGTACTGCTCCGGAAGGAACAACAGGTTCTTGGTGGTCGCGCAGCTGGTGGTGGACGCGGACCTGAAGATTCTGGACTTCTGTTACGGATTTCCGGGTACCGTCGGTGACGCTCGTGTGCTGAAGAACACGTCTTTGTATCGCCGCACATTGAAGGGCCACCTATTTCTTGACGACGTCGACGACCCGTTCCTGGTGCAAAGAGACGCCATCCCGGGTGTGCCTGGTGGGTACTTGCTCGGGGATGGTGGTTACCCGAGTTTGCCTTGGCTTGTGATTCCGTACGGCTGCCAACAGGTGGTCACGCACTCCATGGACGTCTTCGATTCGCTCCACAAGATTGTCCGTTCCACTGTGGAGCGATTTTTCGGCGTCTTCAAAATGCGATTCCAATTGTTCTACCGGCCTCACGTTGCAGACATTTCGAGGGAGAAGGTCGAATTCCACGCGTGTTGTATTCTGCATAATCTGCTGCAGGAGTGGGGGGACCTGCCTGAGGAAGATTTTGATGTGTCGGACGACTCTTCCTCGGACGTGTCGTGTGGACCGTTCCCGGATGCGAGAGAGGACGGGTGTCCGTTGGAGTTCATGTTCGGACGGGACCGTGGGCAGGCCATGCGGGATGCTTTGTGTGCTGAAGTTGTTCGTTTGTATGAAATGGAGGACGAGCAATGACCAGTTCCCGATCTCGAGTGCCACCGCGGACTGCCTGTTCGGACACAATTTTCATGGGCCGTGCCGCAGCACACTGCATCGGCAACACTATAGCACCTCCCACTTCTTTGCAGCATTCATTTTTCATTGACGGGTTGTCTGCCAGTCCCACCGAACACCGTGCGGTGAAGCCAGCAGCACGTGAATCCGCATTTTCCTGCAGCCATGGCAGGGACCGATGGCCGTAGAGATTACGTCCGTGACAGGCACGCGTTGGTTGAGGAGATGGAGAGTGCAGAGCGGGAGCTGGAACACATGCACAGGGTTCTGGTGGCGAGAGGAGACACCATCTCCGTCCGAATGCGCAACGGGAGAGCCGTGTGTGAAACGGAGGTCACACAAGACAGTAGAAACGCGCTCAGGTGGGCAGCAATTGTTGCGGACAGGGTGCGGTCATCACGCTCTGGCCTGCAGCAGTGCTGCGACAATGTCGTGACCAGACACGTTCAATTACGGCAGGAGTAGCAAAGGTGGAGGAGGATGTGGGAGGATAGCCGAATGGCGCATGATGGCGCCGCTCGTGGTCTGCGAGAAGCTGCGCGGGAGCCGACCGATATTCGCAGAAGGTGCGAGGTTGCAGATTCCGAGGTCGTCGTTGCGCGCAGGCAGGCTGAAGATGCATGGAGATTGGTCAATGAAATTATGCACAGTGAATCAGCTGTGGGGAAGTCGGATGGTGACGACTTTTGTGAAGTCTTCGAGGGATTATCGGTGAAAGAGAAAGGCAAATCCGTGGATACGTCCCATCATAAGGGAGATTCTTCTCCATCATCACCTATGTGTCCTTCCTGCGAGAACATGAGCGGCCGTCTCGCGCACATGGAGCACGAGATAGTGAAGCTGCAAGCCACGAACGAGATGCTGCAGTGGCCTGCTTCGGTGTGGGAAAAATGGGATAACGATTTGAAGATGTGTTGCGTCCCTCGAAAGTTTCCC